TGAGACCATCAGGATTTCCATAAAAACGATAAAACTATGAGACCGACCGCTTTGAAGAAATAGGAATAAACTTCGGTGTGGCAGACAGTTAGAGGTGCCGTTAGTTGAGGTGGCGGAGGAGGAGGAGGAGAACGGAAAAGAAGTGAAGAGTGGACTTGGGCTTATCAAGGCGCGCAGGTTCTGGACGACGGGAGGCTGACGGACGGCAAGGGCAAGGTTGTCGACTTTGCAAACACCATCATCATCATGACCTCCAACATTGGATCTCAACATCTCGCGGAAGAAGGATCGGTACCGCCTGCACCTCTTCGTTGACCTCGCCTCCCCTCCCTCCTCCTCCACTTCGTGTAGCTCCTCCTCCTCCCCCATCGCCTTCCTTCGCGTCCTCCCCGGGTCCGCAGCCTCCTACTCACCCTCGTTGTCCCTCTTTCTCCTCCTCTTCCTCCTGATTCTCATTGGTTCCAAGGTGGACGAGAAATGCCGGCAGCTAGTCATGCGAGAGTTGAAGTCCTTTCTCCGCCCGGAGTTTCTCAACAGAATCGACGACGTCGTGATCTTCAAACGGCTGGGCATCTCACAGCTCCGGTGAGGAGGAGGAGACGAGGGACAGGAAGGGCAATGGGAAGGAGGATGGGGGACAGAGAGAAGACGAGGGCGAGGACGAGGATGCGGACAGGAAGTGAAGGTAGAGAGAAGGATGAAGGACACTAGGAACAAAGGGGAAGAAGAGGAGAGAAGGAGACGAGGATGAAGAGAGAGGAGGAGAGGAGGATGAAGAGAGAGGAGGAGAGGAGGATGAAGAGAGAGGAGGAGAGGAGGATGAAGAGAGAGGAGGAGAGGAGGATGAAGAGAGAGGAGGAGAGGAGGATGAAGAGAGAGGAGGAGAGGAGGATGAAGAGAGAGGAGGAGAGGAGGATGAAGAGAGAAGAGGAGAGGAGGATGAAGAGAGAGGAGGAGAGGAGGATGAAGAGAGAGGAGGAGGAGAGGAGGAGAGGAGGAGAGGAGGAGAGGAGGAGAGTGCTGGGAGGGTAGAGGGTCTGACTGGGAGCAGGGAGGTGGCAAGGAAGCTGGTGCGTGAGATGGCTGAGCCGCTAAAGGAGGAGCACAAGCTCGAGCTCTCCTGCTCAGACGCGGCGCTGGACCTCATCGTCTCCCAGGCCTACGACCCGGCGTATGGCGCACGGCCGATCCGAAGGTGAGGGGAGCGGAGCGGAGAGGAGAAGGGAGGGGAGGGGAGCAGAAAGGAGGACAGGACAGGACAGGGGAAGCGAGGGAAGGAGAGTGGAGAGAAGGGGAGGGGAGGATAGGCAAGAGCATGAGGCAGGAAGCGGAGAGGGAGGATGTTGAAGTACATGTGAGGACGGGGGCACGGGACAAGGAAGAATATGGAGGAAGGAGCGAAGGAGACGAGGGGGCAAGAGGCGGAGGAGGAGGTGACGCAAGCTTGCAGGTATCTCTACAAGATCGTGGGGACGCAGCTCGCGTACCACATGGTGGAGCAGAAGGAGCTGCATGGATCGACGGTGACGATCGACGAAGAGGGGGGTCAGCTCAAGATTCACTTCGAGAAGCCCGAGGACGAACAGATGTCAGCGGCTGACGACGGGGGAGCTTAACTTCATCGCGTTTGTAATCTGAGAATGAATATCGACGAGCAGCAAAAGACAGAACTTGCTCTATCCCGCCTCCTCCTTGGAGGAGGAGAGGGAGGGGGAGGAGAAGGAGTTTCACATCCTGCACTTGTCGTAGTTCTCCTGCCAACCATGAATGTTCAAACTACTGGAGCAAGGAGAGGAGCAGGAGCGGGAGCGGGAGCAGGAGCAGGAGCAGGAGCAGGAGCAGGAGCAGGAGCAGGAGCAGGAGCAGGAGCAGGAGCAGGAGCAGGAGCAGGAGCAGGAGGGAAGGAGGAGCAGGACTGTGGACGGCACCTGGAACCAGTCCGTGCTAATCTTCATGGCATCCTTGAAGGGAGTAAAGTGGAAGTCTGTCAGCAGAAAGTCAGAAAGAAACCTCCTGCGCCTGCCCTCGTCTCTGCCTCTGCTCCTGCCCCTGCTTCTCCTCCTGTCTCCCAGTCTTACCCACGGTTCCCTCCCTCCCTGCTTCCCTGCCTCTGGTCTTTCCCTTCTTCCTCTTTCACAAGACCTCTCACTGTCTCCTTGCACTTACCAGGACGCAGCCCACGGAGCCTGGGAAAGAAAAGAGATGAGATGAGATGAGAGGAGTGGAAACGACGAGTCTCCTCACCTGCTGTTGCTGACTGTTTTCTTCTCCTGTCCATCCGCTTTCGATGTATCATATTTCTGTGATGAAATCGGATCAGAGCAAACTCAACGTCCTCTCGTCTGCTCTGCTCTGCTCTGCTCTTCTGAGTTCTTCTCTTCCCTCCTCTTCCCTTCCCTTCTCTCCTCTGGCCTTCCTGTCCTCGCCGGCTGTCCCCATCTCTCATAATTTCATGACTTACAAGTCTGTCGAGAGGAAAGTCCATGCACTCTGCAACTGTCTTCGCTAGCTCTGGAGGCAGACATCAGACTGTCAGGGTCCTCGCAACTTTCAAGCACCTGAGATCGTGATCTCCTCGTTCTCGTCCGGACACAGCATCAGGGAGTCTTTCCCCTGCCAGGTCTTGTCATGCTCCAAGTCCCCCTCCCTCCTCTCGCCTCCTCTCACAGTGTACGTCAGAGTCGCCCAGATCACGAGGTCAGCGAGGTCGCGAGAGAAGATGAACTAGGGGACAGTAAGTCAAGAGCACGAGGAACGTCGAGGTCGTGTACCTGACGGAGAGGCTTCCCTGTTCCCCAGATGATCAAGTCCTCTCCTCGTTGCTTCGCAAGGTAACACTGCGATCCCTTCCATCAGTCGACCCTCCTCCACACGCCATCTCTCCTTCCTACGGCATCGCTCCCGCCTGGCATGTCTGTCTCCCCCTCCTCCTTTCCCTCACCTTGTGCATGAGGCCTGGCGCAACATGACCATCCTCGATGCTGTAGTTATCATGCGGCCCGAACACGTTCGTTGGGATCTTCAAATGGGCAAGTGAGCCAGAAGGGGAGCAGGAGGGGAGACACAGGAGATGAGAACGGAAAGTTTCATCACCACGGTAAGATAGCTGCGGTCATACTGCTCGTTGTATGCGCGACTGAGCACTTCAAGCTGTGAGTGCAAAGTCAGAGGTGAAGAAAATAGCAGGAGCAGGAGAGAGGAAAAGAGAGATAAAGAAAGGAAGCTAGGAGAAGCTGAAGGGTTGGCACGACGATAAGATCCGGTTGGTATCGAGCAGAGGTAGAGCAGAGACGAGAAGGACTGAAGGAAATAAGAAGGGGAGGGCACAGAAGGAAGTTTAGGGAGACAGAGAGTGAGCAGTAGAAGTGGAGTACGAGAAGGACGGGAATGGACAGCAAGGGAACGAGGGGGCCGAAGAGCAGGAAACAATCAACACACCATGCGCTTGGCATATGCGTATCCTTCGTTGGAGGGATGAGGAGGCCCGTCGTGAAGCTGATCTTCTGTGATCGGGTACTTGGGGATCTATAGGAAGGGGATGAGAAGAAGACTGTTGCAGGGGGGGAAAGACCTTATCGGGGAAGACGCAAGTGGAAGTCATGCTAACGCATCGATCGACTCCACACTCGTGAGCGCATTGAAGGACCTGAGGAGGAGAGTCAGGCCGACAAGTCGAGCTCCGTCACTGCGAGCACGGACATTCTGATTGATCATGATATTCTCCGTCATCATCTCAACCTGCAACCGTTGACATCACAGAAGCCGGAACGTGCATGGGCTAGTGCTGGTGGTGACCTTAGAGCGCATGTTCTTGAACAATCCTCCCTGCATTGAGGAACTTTAGCGCCGGAGATGCGCATCAGGACAGCATCTCACCACTCTAGCTGCGAGATGGATGACATGTGTGGGTTTGTGTTTCATAAACGCCGTCCTCGTCTGTTCGAGATTCCTGGATCGCGTTTCAGTCGTGAGCAGAGAAACGAGACAAGATATCAGAGCTTTACCGTAGATCTGCATCCTTAGAGGACAGAAAGATAAACTTGGCACCGTTGGTTGATGGGTGATTGTGCTCCACCTAGCGAAAAAATGCTCGTAAATCAAACCATCACGAAATGGTTCTCTCTGCTCCCACTCAACTGCTGACCACATCTGCGAGGATGGAGCCGAACGACTTCCACTTCTTCCTCTACACTATCTCTGCAACGTCTCCTCCACAGATCTCCCAATCCTTCCCCTCTCCCCTCCAACCACCCCCGTTCCACTTGTTCGGAGTGCTTCATCGCGTTGGGCTTTATCTCAGCTGTTTCTACTCCGATCAGGATTATTTCATCAAGAGCGCATTCGTCTTTCGTCTCCATCACTGTCTCCTGCATTTTCAGAATCCGCTCTTGTCGGCCCTTCAACTCAGAACCTTGCTTCTCTCAGCCCCTCTCTCCCTCTGTCCCGCACTGCGGCGTCTGTTGATCATATTATCTATTCTCTCCCTGCATGAACACATCTCCTCTCCTCTCCTTCTCCTCTCCTCCTCGCCCTCCTCCTCCTTGACATCATCGTCCATGATGGTTTACCTGCCATTCGATCGCCTTCCCCACCAGCCCGCTTCCTCCTGTTACCAGCACCACCGCCATTGCACACCCCGAATACCCTACCCCACCCTACATGATGTCCTGGAACACCCCACCCTCCAGTGCACCTACCCTGCCCTACCATTGTCTACCCTACCCTACTAGCAAAACCTTTGATAGCCACCCCATCCCCACAAAACCAAAAGTCTGAACCCTAACCCTCCCATTTCTCTTTCAGTACCCTACCATAGTCCATGAAGTACCCACCACCCACCATATCAATCTCCATCCACCCACCATTATTCAGCATCAACACCTTTACCCACCCCTACGTACCCCACCCACTTCAGCTAATTCCCACTACCCCTTCAAATACAGAATCCACCCTTGCCCACCTCCCAACCCCCCCACTGCTGAGGATTTTGGTGGCCTACTACCCCCTACACGTGCCCGCCCATGAACCCCCTTGATTCACCCATTCAACAACTTGGACGCAGGGGTGGGGTACTCCAAGCTCTGGCCGCAGTACAGTCAGTGGCTCTGAGTAAGTTGACCCGGTCCGACGGCGTCCGACCGGGCCCGGCGGAGGGCCGGCCCGGGGGGCCCGACTGGGCCCGGAACTTGCCGCAGTGCAACGCCGGGCACTCAGTGCACCGTGCTGGGTGCCCGCAGCAGGGACAGGCTCCGGGCCGGGCCGGAACCGTGAGCGGCACCGGGCGGTGACTCCCCGGCGGCCCGGCGGCGGCCCCGGCGGGACCGTACACGGTCCGGACTTGCCAGAACCTTCACAACTTGAAGTGACTCCCGACTCGCAGTTCACATCTTTACTCACTACTATGACACTTTCAAGGTGGCTATCTCCGTCTCCGCTTCCTCATGAGCAACAACCCTGCGGCATGGCGTAAGTTTCCCCGGCAGCAAACTTTCCGACGCCGGGTGCACAATAAGATAAAGAACTAGTGAAATAACCTCGCGAGTTGTCCTCGCGCCCTGACAGCTTTCCGCGAGCCGAGTACGATGAACCCGTCAGGGACGAGGTAGACAGTCTGCCAGGAGGTGAGAAGCCGCAGGGCAACGATAGGAGCTGACCAGGCCCTTCTGGTTCTTCAGGACGACTGTTGTGAACTTGTCACCTCGGCCGTCCGCCTCGCTGAAGTCGACCAAGAACGACCACCTGGCGAGTCAAGCTAAGACATGAGGCAGCGTGGGGCGCGAGCGTTCACCCTTGCAAGGACGAGTGAAACTGCGGGCCTGCTGACCGCTTCGATTTCCTCGAGCCCAGCTCACTCCACTCCACTCCTTCCCCCTTGCCAAAGAGCCGCCAGGTTCTCACCGTCCCAGCCTCGTCTCTCGACAGCCTCTCGATCACATGGGGGAGGTGCCAGGAGGTCGCGTTGAAAGATCCCTCGTTGTTCACCCTCTGCACGTGGGCCGTGTTGGTGGAGTCCAGCTCATGATCCCAAGTTTGACAAGTCGTCTGGAAGTGAAACCCCCCCTGGTCAGCCGTGACAACTTCCAGGAACATGCTCCTGTCGGATAGGAATAAGATCAGCACTCTCTTTCCTAGAGTCGCTCCAGCCTCTCCTGTGCCCAGAGCAGTCATGTGAAGCTACCATTTGCGCATGGCGACTTACCTACGGCCATGAAGTACCTCCAGTGAAGATCCTTCGGAACAGCCTTCGCTCCTTGCTGCGAGTTGGAAGGACGATGGTGGGCGTTTTGGTGTGCTTCCACTCCCAGAAGTGGAGGGGAGATGACTTTGCTGCCCTCTCCAGTCCCTTCTCCCACGTATACCTTCCGCGCTAGTCAACCATGGGGGACGAAGAGCTTTCAAACTCACCTGAACTACATCTTGAGGGCAGTAGATAGTGACCCCGAACCTCCATGGAGCTGAGGATGGGATACCCTCGGTATGAGGGAGCTCGCATGACCCAAGCAGCCTCCACTTCCCCTCGAGGTGCTTGTACATACTGACCTCCCTTCTAGGAACGTCCAGTACGAGCTTGACCACGTCCCCTACGTCAAACCCGTGATGCTTGATGAAATGCGCATGGATCTGACAGGGCTGCGTCAGCAAGGATGGGAGCAAGAGATGATGTGGCTGACGTTGTGAAGGATGCTCGCACGTTCTCGGGGATCATTGACATGCATGTCGGCAAGGTCCAGGTCCGTCAGGTTGTAGAGCTTCCTGCCATCAATCCCCAGGCGGCGGAATGTCGCGATCAAACTCTTCATCCCCCAGCGGGCCAGGAGCTCTTCGACATCCTTCTCACTGTATTGGTAGAGTTGGTGTAGCTGCTGCACATTCACGTATTGCGTGTTGGGGTAGAAGGGATATCGTTTCTCTCTCCCTCTTGATCGGGCCCCCTCCACCCACCGGACATACGCCATGCCCCTGCCCCATCCCACGCCAGCGTTGCGCTCACCAAAGGCTGTGGCGAGCACAGACGTACAACCATCCTGCACTGTCCCGACAAAAATCCCTCCCTTGTTGTCCGTCGAACCTCCCATAATCCGGAAGATTGCATGGCCAACAGTTGCATCGAAGGATTTCCTTGACAAGACACTGCACAGCTGAGCTTGAAACTTGCTTTCCGCCAAGCTTACTTCAACCCAGCCAGAGCCCAGCTCGCGCAGAGAGAGGAAGGGATGCCTTCGCTTGTTGTCGAGGCTGGCCATCCATACATATCAGGCTCGAAGCACATCGAGAGCCAAGGTTGAGGAAGAGTAGTGAAGGAGAAGAGACGGAGGAACTCTTCTCGATGGTCCAGATATGCACGTCAAGGTCTCATCGCGGTCAGAGCTGCATGTCAACTACCCCTACTGTCGCTCCCCTCCCCCCTCCCAACCCAAGTGATAGATAACGGCCGTCAACAGGGCCAACTTGCTATCATTGGGCAAAGGGCCTGGCCGGCCCGCCGGCCGCCGGGAAACCACCGTGGCACCGGGCAGCCTGCTAGTTCACTCAAAGTTAAAAGTTTACAAGGGGAGTCACTCAAGGTTAGGCCTGCCAGGCTACTATGGTATTGCTCAAACACTGACTCGGAGTACGGTAAGGTGCAACTTGAATCAGTAGTACGAGGGATCTCTTTATTCACGTTCAAGTTTACTTCAGTTCAATCACAATGAACGTGCTTCAGTTGGCTCTACTAACTTACTAAGTTAAACCTGAGGCTGAGTGTCAGGCTGGGCCTTCATCTCGAAGGCAGCGGGAGCCTGACCGGCCGAAGGTTTCTTCATCATCAGAATCACGGCACAGATCACCGCGACGAAGAAGCAAAGGGAAGCGAAGAGAGTGATGGTGATCTGGACCCGTCAAGACTCAGTCGGAGGAGGGGGGCGGACAGGGAGCAGGAGGGACATACCTGTGTCTGCAGCTGGATGTTGTCCTTGACCATGTCATAGGTCTTCTCGTACCCCATCATGTCAGGGGTATACTGTAACTTCCACTGCGATGAAAAAAAGTCAAGAGGCAAGGCATGCAAGGCCTACCAAGGAGCAACAAGTACCTTGCCATTCACACACACGCGCGGCCTTCCGGTCCCGGTACAAGTCTTGTCTCCATGTTTACAACTGAGAGCCATGATCAGGTGCTGGGATGAAGGTAGAGGACAGTATCACTCGTAACACTCGTTGTCTTCGCAATGACCCATCCAGTCAATCACACTGGTGGTGAAGGAGAAACTGCGAACCATCATACGTTCAGAGAAGTGCAATGATCAAGTCGAAACATACCCGCCTTTGGACATCGTGCTTTCATACTCCGTTTCTAGTTTGTCAATTTCCGTGCCCGCTGCTTTACACCCTCCAGCATCATCCACAAATTTGCTCTTTACGCCCTGAGATCACAACGTCAGGGTATGATGTACATCCTATCAACATTGAATTGTTGCTGAGTGAGTACCGGAAAGCAGAATGTAGCCGTTTTGTAACTGTTTCCTGTCACATAAGATTCTGTTGCACATTTCTGGCCACTGCATTGATCGAATCATGATATATATCGACACAAGCATTGCGCACGCTTACTCGTAATTTAAGCATTTCACGGTCTCGGATTGTTGAAATGCATTGCTTTCAAAGTTGCCGCAGAATCGATTCTTGTTGCTCTCATGAAACCTGAACTGTGACTCATACGATACTTTGCTGAAAGCACATGGTAAGTCAGATTGACAGCAGACATCATTCAGTGGAAAGTCTCACTCGTAGACTGAGGTGATGACGTCGTTCCTGATAGTAGTCGATGGCACGCAAAAGTCGTAGTCCTTTGACAGCTCTCGCTTCTTGCAGACGCTTCTGATTTTGTAATTCTTCATCACGTCATAGTACGTCGAAATCTTGTTGGAGAATTCCTCTTTGTAAGCAGCAGCAGTTGTTTTGATTGCGCTTTCCACCATATATAGAGAGAAATCGTTTGCACAATACTCATTCAAGTCACAGTCACAGTCTGAGTTGCACTGCACGCACACACCCGAGTACGTGGTTCCCTTGACAGCAGAGCTGGTAGTGGTCATGCCTGAGTCGTTCCAGATGATCTTGCAGTAGGGGTAGCTCTTATCTGTGCAATCAGCTTGTTTGCTGCATGCGGTGTAGGTATACTCGGCAGAGACGCTGACGAGGAGGAGGGAGAGGAGGAGAGGTATCATTCCCGCGCGCATGGTCGCCGGCGTGCCTCCACAACACGTTCACCAGCCCCGCTCTCCTTTTCCTCGGAAATCCTCCCGGTTGAAAGGGGGTGGGTGGCTGTGGGTGCTTGTCATGTTGTGTACTGGGGAGGGGAGGGTGGGGCTAGGGAGAAGTGGGGGTGGTAATAGTAGAAAGGAGGGGTGGAGATGTTTAGTTAACTGCGCTAAAGGGGTCGTAACAATGCCACACCCCTTGACATGGTCCCTTGCCACTCCCGGGGGTCCGTCTGTTGCCCACGGTGCAATACAATAGGACCAGGTCCAATACCACGCTACACTTTAGGTCCTAGTATCCTATTGTGAGAGCCTCGCGCCATGATTCAAACACTCAAACTGACTTCAACGGTCGTAACAAACCGTTAAGCATCAACTGTGAACGGCCACCAGTGCCACCTCACTCCCAGTCCGATCCGACAGCACCCCGTTCTGGCACTGCATGAGGGGGGGTGGATGGGGGTAGGGGTTGGATATGACCAGTCACACTGATGGAGGCAGATACACCTGACAACTTTCAACTTTTAACGTTCACGGTTGTTTTCCCCCTACCCTTGCTTTTACTGGCAATCCCCGCCCCATAACGGCCCCGTCCGATCCTAGGACCCACTGCCATTTGTCCTAGTACTGTGCGGTACTAGTGACCATCGGACTGGTCGGGGACCGCTATAGTACCGTACCGCGTACCGCGCCGCGTGAGTCAGTACCGTAGCCCGTGCGGGTAGTGGCCAGGCAGTACCGGTGGTCACAGTGCTGTTCTTTTACTCAAAGTGAAGTTAAAAAATCAGTACGTTCTACCGTCGTACTACAACTCGGACTCTCCTGATTGTCAGGCTCGTACTGATTTTTAACTTAACTTTGAGTAAAGGACTTCCCGGCGACTCTGCTCCGACTGACCTGATTGTCGGACGGCGGTCACGGGCCTCGTACCGTACTGCTCTTTAACTTAACTTTCAATGATTACCGGCGCCGGACGGCCCGGCTCAGCGCAAGTTGCCAAGTTCGCCGCGCCGAGCCTCGGACTCCCCGGAGTCCGGGCCTCAGTTCACGGTTCATCGGACCGTCCGGGATCGGACCGGGAGTTGCCAGTGCCATCCGATCGGAGAGTTACTAGTTAGTAGCTTTTTGAGGGCAGTACTCAAAACGACTCGACAGCTACTAGTATTCAATAAATGCCTTTCTTTTTATTGAGATAATGATCTGAGGGGGGCTGGGTTTCGTTAGATGTTGACTGCGCCTGTACGATACAAAAGTTGTTTGTTGGAACAAACAAAGGGGACGCGGAGGAGAGCGGAGAGCAGAGCAGAGCAGAGCAGAGCAGAGCAGAGCAGAGCAGAGCAGAGCAGAGCAGAGCAGAGCAGAGCAGAAGCTGAAGAGAAAAGGGGAGAAGACTTCCGGTATGCATGCAGATAGTGGCAAAGGGGGTATGATACGGGAATGCAGAAGTGCAAAGAGGAGGGAGGTTATTGTGGTTGAAGGAGGACAGTTGTAGTGAAGGGAGCAAGAAGATGCAGGTGCTGGGTGATGTATGGCGTACCATCTTCTCCTCCGATCTGCGTGGAGAGTATGTATCGTCAGCCCCTGCATCTGTGCATGGTAGTCCTTCCATCGCCTCCCCTGACAAGGCGCCTCCTCTTTCTTGGAACAACTCGCTACATGAAATGATGTCTACGGTGATCCCGCTGTCACCCCCGTACTGTGACGCGCGGGAAGTCGAGGAGGGGAGATCTCGATCGAGGGAGAGACTGTTGAAGCCGGCAAGGCTGACATGCGCGATCTGTGGAGGATTCTTGAAAGGAGGAAACATCCCCGTGTTCGACGTCTGCACCAGCTGCTCCTTGAATGCTTCCCATCGGCATTCCACACAAGTCTCACCCCCTCTGACGGAGAGGAGGAGCAGACCTCCCAGCACGTCGGTGGCTCCGCGTTTCTGGCGTGCGACAGGGCCAGTCTCGGAGTGTATCCGAGCTTGTCTTGCAGGGCACGGCTACACTGCTGGCAGCAGCGCGCAGGAGTGGCTGGTGGCCTGGGGGTCGTCCCTGTCCTCCGAGGAGATCAGCAGGTTGAAGCCGAGTCAGAAGCACAATCACCTGCCAGGATGGGACTCCCTAAACAACAAAGCAACGCTCGGGGAGGTGGCTCGGACCCACAGCTCGAGGGGGTCGAGCCTGGCGGACAACGTTCCGCTGACGTTCGTTCTTCCCCAGCACGCAGACGAGCTGCTAGCTCACCACAGGAGAGGAGGAGGGCCGTACATCGTGAAGCCCGTGGGAGGGACCCGGGGGAAGGGGATCAGACTGATGACGGAAGTATCCGACGCGTTCTTGAAGGAGAGGAGGAGGCTGGTGGTACAGCAGTACATCATGAACCCTCACCTGCTGCAGGGCAGGAAGTATGACCTGAGACTGTACGTGGCTGTGACGAGCTCTGATCCCCTCCGCTTGTACATCCACGAGCAAGGGTGAGTGAAAGGAGGCAGGAGGAATGCAGGAGGGAGGGAGGAGGGAGGAGGGAGGAGGGAGGAGGGAGGAGGGAAGGGAGCGAGTTGAAGTCGATTCTTCAATGGCAGGTATGGGAGATTCTGCAGTGAGGAATATGATCTCTCGAGGCCCCAGGATCTGTTCAGGTCTGTTCCCAGTCTGTCCTCTTGCTCTCCTCCTATCCTTTTGCTCTCTTCCTCCCATCTTCTTGCTTTTTCCCTCCCTTCCCATTCCTGTCTCGCCTTGACGGGGCTCTGTCAGGCACATAACCAACTCCAACTTTCAAAAGTTTCACGAGCTCTACGCGCTCAGCGGCTCCAGCTCGAGGACGCGACCTGCGGGGAACAAGTGGCACATTGATATCATCAGGAGGGAGTGGGAGAGGGAAGGGAACCGAGGGGTGTGGGAGCGAATCAAGACAGCCATCACCAAAGTTTTCATCATGTTCAAGGTTCTGCTCAAATTCTGTCCTCCTCCTCCTCCTTCTCCTCCTCCTCATCTTCTTCCTCCTCCTCCACCTTCCCTCCTCTCTCCCTGCTCCCTCCCCGTTACCGCTGACTGGCTTTCTCCTCTAGGAGGAAGCGATCTCAGCCAGCAGGGGCGTCGCCGCATCGCAGTCCAGCTGCTTCAGCCTCTTCGGGATCGACGTGTTGCTCGACGACCAGCTGAAGCCATGGCTGCTTGAGCTCAACAGCCTCCCGTCCACGGGGACAAGCTCTCCTCTCGACATTGAAGTCAAGACCTCTGTCATCAATGACCTCCTCCACCTCCTCGGCCTGGTTGACCTCCTCGTCCTCGTCCTCGTCCTCGTCCTCGTCCTCGTCCTCTTGTCCACTTGGCTCTCGTCCTCGCCGTTTTTGACTGACCCTGTACAGAGCCAGGAAGATCCCGAGCATGTCAAGCTTCAGGTCTGCCGCCTGCTCTCCAGCAAGTTGGACAGCAAGTGGACAAAGGAGGTGGGCAGCAAACGATCGCCTCCTCTTCCTCCTCCCCCAACCCCCGAGGTGATCAGAAGGAGGCTTGTCAGAGGAGGATGGAAGCAGGTCAACCCAAGAGAGATCGAGGTCGTCCAGGAGTACGAGGAGGAGATGGCGAGAAGGAGGGGCTGGTGAGCTGATCGCTTCCCTCCTCCCTTCCCTCCACCCCTTCTTCCTCCTCCTCTGCCTCCATACCGTTCCTTACTCCTCTCTCAGGATCTGCTGCTTCCCGTCGCACAGGATGGGCCAGTACGCCATAGACTTGGGAAGGCCTGGAGGAGATGCCGTCCTGGCAGCCTACGTGGCAGGAGCCGCACGAGGATGAGGAGGAGGCGAGTAAACAGGGCCAGTAAGTCCTCAGCTGCTCTCCAGGACCTCGTCCATCCACTCGTCCTCCCACGAGTCTGTCGGCAAGAAGTCTTCCTCCTCCGGAACCTCTTCGAAGTGCAGCTCCTGCTCCCTCCGCTGCTTCAGCTCCTGCTCCCTCCGCTGCTTCAGCTCCTGCTCTCTTCTACTGATCGGGTTGGGTTTGACCTGCAAGGAACGTCAGGTGTCCCTGGGGCTCCTCTCCTCCTCCTCACCTGAGACTCCCGCGCTTCTTCGGGTCGCTTTCTCGAAGACGACGAGACGCTGCGAGTCTTTCCCCTCGTCCCACGAGCAGGAGCAAGAGATGGGGCAGGAGCAGGGGCAGGGGCAGGGGCAGGAGCAGCTTCCTGCTCCTGGCTTCTCATCTTCTTTCCGTCCCTGTCGCCCCGCAGTTTGAGGGGAGTTGCTGCTGCTTCAGCTGCTCTGAGCTTTCTCGTCTCCTCCTTGTCTGCCTTGCCCTCTGCCTCCTCTCGCTCTTTCACCTCCTCCCTCGCTCCTCTCCGGCTCTCCGGCGCTGCCGCCGCCCTCTCATGATCCTCCGGCGCAGCCGAGTCGAAAATGTGCGTCGTGTGCGAGACGTCAGCTGCATCTTCCGGCATGCTCTGGTAAAGCCCAGCTTCCTGCTCCACCTGCTCGACCTGCCTGTCCTCCTCGTCTTGTCTCGCCTGCTCCTCCTGTCTGGCCTGCTCCTCTTGCTTTGCCTTCTCCTCATTATTCGCCTGCCCCTCTGGTTTTTCTGGCTCCTCCTGCTCCATCACCTTCGCCTCCTGGTAGATTTCTTCGCAGATGGATGAGAAGACGTTGTCATGCTGCAGCGCCTCGCATGAGGCCTCCATGGAGAGGCGAGAGAAGATCGACTCGCGCTGCTCCCTGTTCCCCTCCACGCTCTCCATGCCCTGCTGCACCGTCGTGCTCAGCTCGTCGTTCAGGATGAACGACTGCAGCGACCCTGTCTGCGCGTCGTCCAGCGAGGAGACGTTGAAGTTCGCGGGCTCGAGAGCTTGGGCCGCAGCTGGGGGCCGAAGCCTCGGGGTCGAGAAGTTGACATCGCCATCAACGCTCTCAGCTGTCATTGTCAGCTCAACTTCCTCGTCCTTTTCCTTCTCCCCCAGCTCGATCTCTCGCAGATCGGCTGCTTCCCCGCAAACTCTCCCCGCAGCACCAGCTTCTCCCCTCACTTTGCCCTCGTCACCCTCGAACTCCGTCCGGTGCGCTGCCCCTCCCACCTTCTCTGCTTCCTCGAGGTTCCAACTCACATCTCTCAGCTCGACACTCCCCTCAGCTCCTTGCATCTCGTCATCTCCCAGCTGCAGCTTGTCAAACTCCAGCTGAGGAGCCTCTACCCTCAGCTTCATTCTCGCCTCTTCTGGTTGTACCTCGTCGTGTCTCAGTTCATCTCTCAGCTGGACTCGACCATCTCTCAGCTGCAGCTTTTCATTGTAATTCTCGTCTTTCAGCTGCAGCTTGTCATCTCGAGCCGCAAAGAAGTTGTCTGTGTCAGCCGAGCTGGCCATCAGCCCGGCGGAGGCTTCGTGCTGCCATTGTGAGGTCGACTCGAATCGGTTGGTGGGCACCTCGTCTGTAGTAGCTACCATGGTGTCTCTCCAGCTCGACCTCTCCTGCCTCTCCATGGCCGAAAAGCTCAGCAACTCTCCAGCTGGATAGTGAGCTGCTCCCTCCTGGGCTCCCTTCCGCCAACTCCCCTCGTCATCTTCCAGCCACCCATCTGTCCTCCTCCACCTGAGACCCTCGTCTCCGTCCAGCTCCAAGTGGCTTCGCAGCTGCTCCTCATCTGCTGGGCGTGACCGCAGCAGGGGGGAGGAACCGCCTCCCTCTTCTTCCCTCGTCCCTTCCCTCAGCTCCTTTTCCCACAGCTCATACGAAGATGTATGCGCCAGGTCCCCTGGCTGCGTTTCCTCCCTCGCAGCATCCTTCTCGCCCATCGACGCCCTCTCCCCTCCCTCCTCCTTCTGCTCCTCCCCATCCTTCTGCTCCACCTCCTCCAGCTTCTCCTCCTCCTTGTAGCTCATCTCCTTCTTTCTTCCATCCAGCCCCTCACATCCAGTCGCCTCCCCACCCCCCTCTTCACTACCATCATGCTTCATCCCCAAACTCTGCTCCGCCTCCTTCCCCAGCTCAGTCTCACCAGCATCGTCCTCCGCAGCTTTCTTTCCTCCCATCACAGATCGATCTTCCCCTTCGGACACCATCTTCGTTGCGTCCTCCTCCTTGTCTTCCTCCTGCTGCTGCCTGACCTCTCCCTCTCCCTCTGCTTCTCTTCCCTCCTTGCAAGAGTCTGGCTCTCCTGCTGTTGCATCGCCGCCAGCCCCTTCCCTCCCTCCTCCTCCCTCCTCTTCGATCTTCTCAGCTGATATCGAAAATCCTCCCGCTTCTTCTGCCGGGTGTTCACTCAGATCCACCCCCGCCTCTCGTCCCCCTTCCTCCTGCTCTTGCTCCTGCTCCTTTTTCGCTGTCATTTGTTCTGCCTCCCCTCCACCGTCGACTTCCCTTCCCTCCGTATCCTCTTTCCCGTGCTCTGCTCTGGTCCCCTCCGTCAGCCCACTGTCCACTTCACCCACTCCTGACCCCTCCAGTTCCCGAGCTGCTCCTCCGTCCTTCCAACCTTCGTCGTTGCGAGCGCTTTCACTCGAAGAAGCTTCTCCTCCATCCTCTTCCTGGTCCTCTTCCTGGTCCTCTCCCTGGTCCTCGTCCTCGTCCTCGTCCTCGTCCTTCTCGCTTCCTTGCACCGAATCGCTGCTTTCCGTTTGCTGATCTCGAACCGAGTCAATGTCTTCCTCATCCTTCTCGCTCTCCTTGCTCTCCTCCTCGCTGCTTTCTCTGGAAGATTCAGAATCCTCCATATCCTCCTCTGAAACCCCCGATGGCTCTTCTTGGCCCAGAGATTCCTCCTCCTCCTTCTCTTCCACAGATTCACCCCCCTTGCTAGACGTCCAGGCCGACTCCTCCTCGTCCACCTCCTCGTCCTCCTCTTCCTCCTGTTGTGAGCTCTTGTTCACCTCCTGTGACTCCTTCACGGATTCATCCTCCTTGCTAGACGTCCAGGCCGACTCCTCCTCGTCCTCCTCCTCGTCCTCCTCTTGTGGGCTCTCCTGTGAGTCTTTCACGGATTCATCCTCCTTACTAGATGTCCAGGCCGACTCCTCCTCGTCCTCGTCGTCCTCGTCCTCGTCCTCGTCCTCCTCGTCCTCGTCCTCCTCTTGTGGGCTCTCCTGTGAGTCTTTCACGGATTCATCCTCCTTGCTCGACGTCCGGGCCGAATCATTCTCCTGCTCCTCCTCCCGCTCTTCTTGAGCTTGCAGCGCTTCTCCAATCTCCTCTGCTCTGTCTTCTTCTCGATGACCAGCGTCTTCTTCAGTCCTCATCTCTTGCTCCTTGTCTTCACTCGCAACTTCTAATACCTTGATTGACTCCGACACTTTCTCCTCCTCACGCTCCGCTTCCTTCTCTTCCTCCTGCACCGCCACCATCTCCTCCTTCTCCTCGGTCTTGTCTTCCTCTTCCCGGCCTTCCTCCCCAATCAGAGCATTTTCCTGCTGCTGTTGCTCAATTTCTTCCGTTCCTCCATCCTCTGCCACTTCGTCGACATGTACAGTCTCCATTCCACCTCCTCCGCTGACATCCGACGCTCCTGCTGACTGCTGACTAACCACCTGCTCCTCTTCCTCCTCCTCCTCTTTCCCGCTCCCGGTCTCCTCCTTCCCTTCCATAGAGCTCATAGCCACCTCCTCCTCCTCCTCCTCAGTGCTGCTCCTGGTCTGAGCATCGTTAACTTCCTTGTCTTCCGTCACTCGCTCTTGTTCCAATGCCATCGAAGACTCTACCTCCCCGTATGATATCTGCTCCTCCTCCTCCTCCTCCTCCTCCTCCTCCTCGCCTTGAGTCGATCTCACCGCGTTGCTCGAGGTCCTGGCAGACTCCCCCCCCTCGCTGATCCCCCCTCCTTCCGCTTCTACCGTCGGAGATGCAGACTTTTCCATGGAATCATCAGCCTCCTCCTCGACTTGCTCCCCCTCCCCCACTTCCTTCGCCGCCGCCTCCTGCTCTTCCACTGCCTCATCCTGCTCTGGGGAGCCATCAAAAAGCCCTCCTTCCTCCGTCTCTTCTCGACTGCTCTCGGTCTTGACCTCGCCAACCCTACTTGATTCAGCCCCACTCTCCTCAAAACCAGCTGGCTCCTGCTCCTGCTCCTCCTGCTCCGTCTCCTGCTCCTGCTCCTGCTCCGTCTCCTGCTCCTGCTCCTGCTCCTGCTCCTGCTCCTGTTCCGTCTCCTGCTCCTGCTCCTGCTCCTCTTGCTCCGTCTCCTGCTCATTTTCGTGCTCCTTCTCTGTATGCGCCGCGTGCTCACTCATCTCCTCTGGCGCTGATCCGAAATCTTCTTTTGAAATCGAACCGGATGGCTCCTGCTGCTGCTCCTTCGCCCTCTGTTGCCCTTGCTCCTGCTCCCGGTCCTCCATGCATTCTTGCTGCCTCTCTTCGCTCCATTCAGAAGTAGCAACCTCCTCCGCCTTCGTCTCTCTCAGCAGAGGCGCAAAGGCTCCCGTCCCTCCTCCCTCCTCCCCTGCCTCACCAGCACTTCTCTCCCAATTGCATGCCCTACGGCTCTGAGAGTTCCAAGTGACAACTGAAGGCTTTGCAGTGAATCGGCTGAACAGCTGATGCCGATTCATCTGCCGTACCATCTCATATATCGCGACCTTCCTGTCACAAGCCAGTTTCATCTCATCCTCGGCCCTCTTCAACTCCTCCTGCTTCTCCACCAGCCGCTGTTTCGACTTGAGCTTCCTCGACATGGCAGCGTGATATGCCGACAAGGTGCCGCCTCCTTCCAGCGCCTTGCTCGGGATGGAATCCATCACCGTCATCGCCTCCTCTGCTGACCTTGCGTGCATAAGAGCAGCAAGGTAACTTGAGTTCTTCAGCGTCAGCCCCATCCGATCGGCTTCCCCTAGCGTCTCCAGCATTTCATCAACAGCATTCACCGAGGTCAGAAACAGGATCGTGGAATCGAAGAGCTCGCGCGACTTGTGCTGTTGGCAAACTTTTCTGTGGACATTCATCACTTGTTGGAGCGAGTGTCGATCTCCGTGCTTGACCAGGAAGAACCACTTCAAGACTGCAGGACAGAGAGCATCGACTTGTTCTGCAGCTGTAAACACGTCGTCGGCCACATTCTGGTGCACCTCAAGTTTCCTCACACACAGGAACGCTGTTTCCATCAGCGAAGAGAAGAACTGTTCGTCAGGAGGAGACGAAAGAAGTGCTGGGAGCTTGAGCAGCACGCCCATCAAGTCCGCCATGTCGAAATCGAACTCAACCCCACAACCAGGAGCCTCGCGCATGTACTCCGACAGAGCTCTGTTAAAGCATGTCAACGCCGTTGTTGTGAAGCTTGCCTCCCCTTTTCCAACAATCTCCAGCACTTGTCGCAAGACACGGCTGAACTTTCCTGACGGGTTTCCGTGTAAGATTGTCCTGCTCAACGTTTTCACCATTTCGATCACAGCCTCGCGCGATCTCGCGCCAACAGCCGTCAACCTCTGAATCATCTTGCAAGCCTTGCTCGCGTTAAATTTCACATCCAGAGTATTCTTGCAGACTGACATCGTTGTGCTCAAAAGGCACCTCCACGTCAACTCGGATACTTGAACTTGATCTGCAGCCCCCAGAACAAGTCCCGTCAGCCATTCCACATCTTCTTCTGAAGCCTCGAAATTTCTTGTGACGTACTTCCAGTCATGATTGCCAATCTGACAATCAAAGCTCCCATGGCAGAAGGCAAGAGCAGTGACATCTAAAACTTCACTTCTTCGCAAGCTCGTGCGCTCCCAGAAATCCTGGGTGCAGTCCCTGATCGCATTCCACCATTTCCGGCGGCATGTTTCATCGGCCATCGAAGACCTTTCATTCATGCTGAGCAAGGCCTTTGATACCAACGCCTGATACGCCAGAAGCTTCAACTCATCCCCCAGCTCCTCGCTGATCGACTTTGACAGCTCACAGACAATCTCTGCTGCCTCTGGATCCCGGTCCCACGAGCTCGCGTTATTCGCTGCAAGTTCTTGAATCTTTCCCAATGTCCTCTGAAACGTGTTGCATGCAAGCTCGTCAACGTTCCACTTCTCCCTGAACTTCATCATCCTCGACATGGATGTCAGCAGACTGATCAAATCTCCCCGGCATCTCACTCCCCTCAGATGGTGGATAAGCTCTCCTGCGCTCTCTAAGTTCACAGTCTTTGTCTTCCTGTACAAGACAATCTCCATCGTCGAACAAGAGCTCATCTTGCTGGGTTCTCGCAGAGCCATGCTCTGCGATTCTTCCAACCCCTCCTCCTCATCACTCGCTGCTTCCCTTTCGTCCCTGAGTATCTTCAATTTGACCACCTGTCTCGTCTCATCTAGAAGGAGCGCCTGGAGAGACCAAACTTCAAACATCATCGTCATCTCAGGCACATGTTCTGACCTTCACGCCCTCAGAGCCAAGTTGCCATGCCGGCACATGCTCCACATGTAGGACCCTGTCCTGGGGTCGTATTGGCTCGAGCGCGATGAACCCTAGCTTGTCAACATCGAAACGCGCGACGGAGAGAGACCATCCATGGCCTGGAAGCCATGCTTCATGGAGGACGACGGGCTCCTCGATCAGATCTTGTCTTCGTCCCTCGACATTCCTGCAAGCCACAACCGTCACAAGAGGATCCGAGGTCAGAAGGAGGAGCACAAACCGGACAGGAGAAGAGTAAGGAGGAGGCGACTCTCTGCTTCTCAGCATGTCTTGTCGCAACTTCTGCTCTCCTCCGTTCAACGCCGCGTCCACCATCAGCACCCCCAGCAGCCATCCCATCACCCTTCCCCTCCGCCCCCACGCCATTCCGGCCGCCCCTCCCCACATCCCCGCTCTTTCCCTTCCGAGGCTACGGATTCCCAGACGGATTCCTGTACGCCGATTCACTTTGTGACGGATGGCAAGAGTCTCAGGGCCGATGTGACGGATTCTGCTGCGGAACTTGTCAAAGAGTCTCAGTGCTCAGTGACGGATTCCAGTCAGTTCTGCTGGGGCTCGGAAGGACTGTCCTGGCTGCCATCATTGCGGGGCGGGGTTCACAGTGCATTCCGGTACGCCGCCGCTGCTCAATCTTACTTCCGACTCTCACAGTATTAAGAGTCGGCCGCGGCCGACCGCGGCGGCGGCGGCCCGGCCGGGCGCCCGGGCCCGGGCGCCGGGCCGGTGCGGCCCGGCAGTGTGCGGCCCTGAGCCTCAGTGCGAGCCTCCTCGACTCTCCTGATTGTCCTCGTACTGATTTTTAACTTAACTTTGAGTAATGGGATGGGAAGCAGCGGAAACATCACGACGAGCAAAGGGGACAGCAGTCATCGTAGTGCTGACCATTAATGGTACAGTACCGGTACTTCATAGCCCATTTGGAAGGGGCTGGGTGGGGGGTGGGGGACCAATCGGCAAGACGAAAAATGATGCAGGGAGCAAGCATTGTACGAACTCCTCTCTCCCTCCCCCTCCTCCTCCTCCTCTCGCTTCTCCTCCTAGCGGGACCCGTTGCAGCTGACGATCACACGTACAAGCAGTGCAACGTTCAGGCTGATTGTGATGACAAGGACTACCCAATCTGCATGCCGCTCTGGAACGACGAAGGCATGGCGACATTGGACACGAAGGTGGTGGATAACATCTACATCGGCGTGTGCGTGCAGTGCCGAACCGACTGTGACTGCGATACGGATGAATACTGTGCCAACGACTTCACTCTCAATAAGTTCTCGTCCGCCCTGAACGCGCTGGACAGATACACTGAGCAGCAGAGAGCTCTTGTAGGCGCCCACTACAGTCAATATCAATCGCTCAAGATACGCAGCGTCTGTAAGAAAAGAGATCTGCCAGACGAGTACGACTTCTGCAACACCAGGCAGGACATCGTGTCGGATACTGTTTCCAAGAGCTACGAGTGAGTTGCTATGAGTTGCAATCAGACGATACGATTTGTTTGAGCCTGATTGCTGTGCAGCTCCGGGCATTTGTATTCCACTGGCTACATTCACGTGAAGAACAAGAATCGGTTCTGCGGCCGCATTGAGGAGAACGCTTTCCTGGTTACAGATGAGATTCAATGTGTGGGAACGGGGTGCGGGGGAAACCTTTTGGTTGGCAAGCTCATCAACACCCCAGCTATCTGTATTCCCGTGAGTTTTTGCTCCACAGCTCTCCTGTCCTGTGTGCCGATGTTGTGAAGCAATCCATGTGTAGACGGTATACGTCTCAGGGACCAAAGTCATCAATGGCACTTGTCAAGCGGAGCAAATGTCCATCACAGGCGGGGGGTATTTGTACCTGCTCTCGTACCTGATCTGAGCTGCTGTATCGACAGGTTCAACTTCAAGACGAGTGTGGTCGACTGGGAGGGATACTGCAAAGACAACAGCTGTAAAGAGTAAGACCTGATTACTTGAAATCCCAGCTAGGCTCAAAGAGCTTCTGTCAGTTGTCGACACGGAGATACTATGTGCACTGAAGTGTATCAACAAGCACGTGTTTGCATCAACGGAAAAGTACGTGACGGAGAGGGGACAAGCAGTCTGGGATGATTGACTTCCTTTCAGTGGAAACTCCGATACTCTGCCACCATGATCGGGTATGAAAGGAGCTATGACATGGTCAGCGAGAACATCCAGCTGCAAACTCAGGTACTCCGAGTGAAGCGCGAGATGCCGCTGTAACATCTCACCCACTGAGCGGCTGACTCTCACAGATCACCATTGCTTTGTTCACGTCTCTCTGCTTCGTTGTGGCGGTGGTCTGTGCAGTCCTCTTGACCGTCAGAAGACCTGCCGCCAGTCAGACGGCATCACACGTCAAATCTGCCGCCCCCGTTGCTTCCCCTGAGGCTGCTGCTCCTCCTCCAGGCTCCATCTCTCTCAACGTGCCCAGGCCAGAGGACGAGGGCTACTTTCACAACACAGTTAGGGCTGTAGAACTTGGAGCGGAAGGAGTAGGAGGGGCTGGTCAGGCGTAGGCCTTCAAAGCTGACTTTGTGCCGCTAGTGCAACAGACTGTGAGAACAAGAGCGAGAGACTGTGACTGAGCAAATCCAGCAGCTTGCCAATTGAACGTCTTAGACTTGCAGTGCCGGGAACGGTACACAACTTACAAGTGCAGGTCAATTAAGATATGATGAATAAGCTGAATAAAGAATCAGATTCACACGTCGAACGGTCCCCATGATGAGTCAGATATGAGTCCGATTCCGAAGCGGCTGGCGGCTGCCAGTGGTGGCGGCGACCCGGGCCGGGCATTGGCCCGTGCGGCCCGCCGGTGGCTCGCGCCTAGCAGTGACGGGCCGGTCGGTACTGTAACGGCGCCGGCCCGGCCCGGTCACCAGTAGCCTCGGTGACCGTGGTACGGTGCTTGTCCGAGTCATTCTGTCAGTTATCGAGTCAAAAACGTAACGGAAGATCTATTTTCGCGGGGACAAAAATGTTTGCTCAAAGCGGCTGGTGCGCTCATGAGAGTAAGCTGGAAGGAAAGGAAAGGAGCAGCGTAGAGGAAGGAGCCTGTGCAACCTTCAACCTTGATTCGAAGCTTGAGCTCGGTAGGAGGGAGACAAAAGGAGACACCGAGAGGGGGTGGATCGTGACAGTGTAACGATAGAGGAACAAGCGAGGAAAAGCTATGATGACGAGTGCTAGGATACGAAGGAGACGAAGAGATAAAGAAGGTGATGAGAGATGCAGGGGCGGAGGGATTGAGGGTCTGGGTTGAGAAAGAACAACTTGTTGCATGTGTGTACACCTTTGAGCTATGGAACAATCTGGCCACGTGATTGTGGAAATGAGCGAAGGTCCTTTTGAGACCTACAATGTTGCACATTACTTCTTCAATGCGCTAACAATCTCTTTGGGTTGCTCGCAGACCAATGTTCGAAACAATCCGCAGCACTCAGGAGCTGTTTGCCTCCTTCAAAGAGCAACGCTTTGAGGAACTCGGTGATGTGGTGAGCTTCAGAGGACTCGAGACAGTCTGCTCATCGACCTTTCTCGCAGAACTTCTCTCTCCAGGACTATGAGAATGCCTACCTAACAGCGCGCCAAACTTACCTTGATGCTGCCGAGGCCGTGAAGAAGGTTACGGGCCCTTACGAGGCAAGCAAAAACTCATCAGGGAGGGTACTGTTGCCTGTCCGCTGATCGTCTTTCCAGGCTAGTCGCGATGCCTACGTTGCAGCAGGTTAGTTGTGTGGGCATGATGTCCTTCTCTAGAATTTTTGCTCTGACAATGCGATGTTCAGCTGCCACGTACACCAAGTCTTTGTACAGTTAAACCGGTATCCGGTATTTGGCAGATAGTCGGTGTCAGGCTCCAGGAGATTCATGCATTTTTGCGTTTATTCTGATGCTCAGAACAAAGACAGTTTTCTCCCGCTCGAGGAGTTGGCTTTAAGGAAGCTGACCGCAGTCATCAATCTTGCATTCAGCAGATGGCTGCCCGCTTGAGGTGCCCTTAGCTTCCAAACTCTTCACAACATCCATACCCTCAATCACCCTGACAACAACCGTCAGATCTGCATCCATATCTAACAAAGTTATCCCATACTTTCCGAAGATGACATGACGACCGTCCAGCCATGGTGTTGGCACGGTGGTGATGAAGAACTGGGATCCGTTCGTGTCGGGGCCCCTGTTTGCCATGGAGAGCAGGCCAGGAGACGAATGCGCAAAGGCAAAGGCCTCATCGGGGAAGGTGGAGCCGTAGATGGACATTCCGCCTGTTCCGTTGTGATTTGTGAAGTCTCCTCCCTGGATCATGAACCCGGGAATGATGCGGTGGAAGGAGCAGCCTGACAACGAGAAGATCAGAGTGAAGAACCATTCTTGTCTGTCCTTGAACATCATTCGAGAAGGATATCAGAAAGTGTTCAAAAGCATCATCAGCGTGACATTCTCTGAGAGAAGATTAGACAACAACCATTCATCCTGCTATCCCTGTGCATCCCATGGACTTCCGAACTACCACAAGTGCTCACCTTTGTAGCCTGCAAGGCCTTTTGCCTCTCCAGTGCAAAGCTGGCGAAAGTTCTCGCAGGTCTGAACAACCAAGTCAGCAAGTCTGCTCGCGTTGCAGTTCTGCGAGGACCTTTGGTGTCTTGTCAGCGAAGAGCTCGAACACAACCCTGCCCGCAGGTGCTCCATTGATGCTACAATCAAAGAACACCTTGGGATTCTGATTGGATGCAGCAGAAGAAAGGAATCTTTGCGTCAACGAGCTTGCAAAGAAATGATTCTTCTGCTGGGTAAGGATCGAAGCCCCAAAGCGCAAACCGGATTGCATTTGCATGTTTGCCTGTTGTAAGCAGATCAAACATCTCAGTTAAAATTAACATGTAGACATCAAACAACTGCACACTCTCATGCTTTTTCGATGAAGCTCACACTTGCGGAGGAGCTGTGATACTTTGCATGAAAATTCATAGCGACAAGGTCAAAAAACGAGGAAGTTTGATGTGACATAAGTTCTAAAGGGGCACAAGCAAGCCAAGACGACTTCCACACATCATACATGTGACATAGATGACATAGTCTGTATCACGGCTGCTCACCGCAATCGCGCGGCTTCCAAGCACCATTGGCCGAATGAGTCCCTGCATGATTGTTTCCTCTGTGTGAAGTACCCCACCCTTGGACTGTTGAACCACCCCACAGGGGTTCTGTCGAATAATTCTGTACCCCTCTCAACAACACATGTGAGGTACCCCCACCCACTATGTCATATCGCAATACCCACCCTTTTCTATGTTGATACTTCCTCCTTAACCATTCCAAGTCATATTCGGAGTACCCCCACCCATATCATAAGTACTACCCTCAATAGAAAACTCAAACAAGCCCGCCTCATTGTAGGATCAAAACTCTCTCCGTATCCATCCTCCACATCTAAACTCTTTCACATCTCAATGCGAAGACCATCTCTCTACCTGCCATCATCATCATCATCATCATCATCATCATCATTATCATCATCATCATCATCATCATCATCATCATCATCATCATCTCTACTTGCCATCCACATTTGCACTTCACTTTCCGTGGCCGTTACCATTGCTGGGGTCACACTGTCTGCTTGGATTAGTTGCTGTTTTCCAACGTTGGTTGAGCCGACGATGCCATAATTTACACAAAGAAAAATTATCTAGATCGCTTGTTCACAAAAGTACAACCACAGTTGAGCCTGTGGCAGAAGTGTCATCGATTGTTCACTTGCTTGAATCCATTGGGAGTGTGCTTTGTTCAGGGAAAAACTTGTTCAAGATGGCCTCTGTTCGCTTTCTTGCTTCTGAGATGACTTGTTGCAAAAGTTTTCTGCTGACAGGCAGCCCTCCTGACTTGTTGAGAAAGAACGCATGCTCCTCTTCTTTTTCCGCCCCCCTCTGGACGTCCAGGATCACTGAGACTATCGAATGACAGTGCTTCTCCTCCTCGTCTGTAGGGTCCACCAGGACTTTCACGGGAACGTCTCCGAAGTCAAACAAGGCGAACGTATGGCTGATAGGGAACGACTGTATCACCAGGGGCACCGAATCTCCCTCAACCTCAGCCATTACATCGTTCTCCTTCATCTCAACAGCAGGAAGCTTCGTGTCCACCAGGGCTGACAGCACTGCCAACATCGATGCGTCCTCGAGGTTTCCTCCGTGATTCAGACAGGTGACGTGGACGTCGACGACCCACACAGCAGCATCCTCTTTCATAACAAGAGCTGAGAGATCCACCACTCTTGCTTCATTGATGACCCTCGTCAGGTGCGCTGACAGAGCCTGAGCCTTCAAGTTTGCCTTCCTGTACCTGAAGTGCTGGAACCGTGAGGAGCATGCTGGCCCAAATTCCACCGTCACTCTCACGATTCCCTCCGCTCCCCTTGAAGCACTTGGACACACGACGCTCAGGTTGATCCCTGCTGCTACCACTGTCCTTCCCACCTTGACCATGGCAGATCCATCGGCAGAAGAGAAACAACCGCGATTGATCGAGATGTCTCGCGCATGCAGGAAAGATCTAGCATCCAGGCGGATGTCCTGTTGGAGAAACATGAGTGCGGGTAGACGAAAGACGAAGAGAGGTCAGAAGAGGAGGGAGGGATCGAGCAAGAGGGTGCACGCGGACAAGTGTAGGGCAACGAGCTGCACGGAAACTTGGATGGAGTTTGCATTGGGAAAAGAGGAGGAGGAGGAGGAGGATCTTGCAGCAAAGAGAACGAGAAGACGAGTGGCAGCAAGTCAACCTCTTCCAGCATCTTCCTCATTAGCATCTCCGGGAACATCGCCCCTACTACCGCCTCCGCTGCCATGCTGCAATTCCCGTTGACCCTCTGGTCAATGGTTTCCATTTTCGTAGGTATTTTCAAAATATTCTTGGAATTTTCGACTTTTGTCGAGCTAATTCAAACACACATTCATGTTTGGGGTCAACACGCCACTTCACGTGCACCCGGCTGCCCGGCAGTATGAGTCCGATCCCCCGGCCCGGGCGGGCCGGGCGGCCGCCGGGGCCCCACAGGCGGGCCGCGGGCGGACATTATGACGCACAACTGGTCACTGAGTGAACCGTGAACCGTGAACGGTTGTTTGGCCTGTGCCGACGGTTGAAGAGGCTCGCCGGGCGGCGTCGCCCGCTCTCTGCCTTGCCAAGTTGAGCATCCCGGATGATGGCCGGGAGCCTATGCGGCCGCCGAGGGCAGGCTGCAGGCTGCACCGTGACGGTACGGTACGGTCACCGGGGCACGGAGCCACCAGAAGCCGCTCTGCCCTGAGATTCCGACAGGCTGAGGCCGGAGAGTGTAGTGTAATCGCGGCCGCGGCTTGCAAGCTGTCACGTGTGGATCTGATTCTTTATTCAGCAGCTTCATGGTATCTTACCCTACACTTGTAAGTTGTGAGCCGTCCCCCCCACTGCAAGTCTAAGACGTTCAATTGGCAAGCTGCTGGATTTGCTCAGTCACAGTCTCTCGCTCTTGTTCTCACAGTCTGTTGCACTAGCGGCACAAAAACAGCTTCAAATGAAGGCCTACGCCTGACCAGCCCCTCCTACTCCTTCCGCTCCAAGTTCTACAGCCCTAACTGTGTTGTGAAAGTAGCCCTCGTCCTCTGGCCTTGGCACGTTGAGAGAGATGGAGCCTGGAGGAGGAGCAGCAGCCTCAGGGGAAGCAACGGGGGCGGCAGATTTGACGTGTGATGCCGTCTGACTGGCGGCAGGTCTTCTGACGGTCAAGAGGACTGCACAGACCACCGCCACAACGAAGCAGAGAGACGTGAACAAAGCAATGGTGATCTGTGAGAGTCAGCCGCTCAGTGGGTGAGATGTTACAGCGGCATCTCGCGCTTCACTCGGAGTACCTGAGTTTGCAGCTGGATGTTCTCGCTGACCATGTCATAGTTCCTTTCATACCCGATCATGGTGGCAGAGTATCGGAGTTTCCACTGAAAGGAAGTCAATCATCCCAGACTGCTTGTCCCCTCTCCGTCACGTACTTTTCCGTTGATGCAAACACGTGCTTGTTGATACGCTTCAGTGCACATAGTATCTCCGTGTCGACAACTGACAGAAGCTCTTTGAGCCTAGCTATGATTTCAAGTAATCAGATCTTACTCTTTACAGCTGTTGTCTTTGCAGTATCCCTCCCAGTCGACCACACTCGTCTTGAAGTTGAACCTGTCGATGCAGCTCAGATCAGGTACGAGAGCAGGTACAAATACCCCCCGCCTGTGATGGACATTTGCTCCGCTTGACAAGTGCCATTGATGACTTTGGTCCCTGAGACGTATACCGTCTACACATGGTTTGCTTCACAACATCGGCACACAGGACAGGAGAGCTGTGGAGCAAAAACTCACGGGAATACAGATAGCTGGGGTGTTGATGAGCTTGCCAACCAAAAGGTTTCCCCCGCACCCCGTTCCCACACATTGAATCTCATCTGTAACCAGGAAAGTGTTCTCCTCAATGCGGCCGCAGAATCGATTCTTGTTCTTCACGTGAATGTAGCCAGTGGAATACAAATGCCCTGAGCTGCACAGCAATCAGGCTCAAACAAATCGTATCGTCTGATTGCAACTCATAGCAACTCACTCGTAGCTCTTGGAAACAGTATCCGACACGATGTCCTGTCTGGTGTTGCAGAAGTCGTACTCATCTGGTAGATCTCTTTTCTTACAGACGCTGCGTATCTTGAGCGATTGATATTGACTGTAGTGGGCGCCTACAAGAGCTCTCTGCTGCTCAGTGTATCTGTCCAGGGCGTTCAGGGCGGACGAGAACTTATTGAGAGTGAAGTCGTTGGCACAGTATTCATCCGTATCGCAGTCACAGTCGGTTCGGCACTGCACGCACACGCCGATGTAGATGTTATCCACCACCTTTGTGTCCAATGTCGCCATGCCTTCGTCGTTCCAGAGCGGCATGCAGATTGGGTAGTCCTTGTCATCACAATCAGCCTGAACGTTGCACTGCTTGTACGTGTGATCGTCAGCTGCAACGGGTCCCGCTAGGAGGAGAAGCGAGAGGAGGAGGAGGAGGAGGAGGAGGAGAGGATTTCGTACAATGCTTGCTCCCTGCATCATTTTTCGTCTTGCTCGCGGTCTCCCCATCTAACCTTGAAAGTTTGACAAGTGGTCCCCCACCCCCCACCCAGCCCCTTCCAAATGGGCTTCGAAGTACCGGTACTGTACCATTACTGGTCAGCACTACGATGACTGCTGTCCCCTTTGCTCGTCGTGATGTTTCCGCTGCTTCCAGTCATCTCATCTCACTGAGTCATGTCATCATAGTGTCATGTCGTGTCATGTCACACACTGTCTGTGTTAACTGGACTTGAACTTAAATGCGCGTCGCGTTACCGGCATTGGGCTCGCCGGACCTTGGCGGCGCGGCCGCACACCGTCGTGGCACTAGGCTGCTCCGCCGGGCCTGGGCGGCCCCGGCGGCCCGGCCGGGCCCGCCGCCGCAGTCACTTCAAGTCAGTCGGACCCTCCTTCAAGACCCGGCAACACCGTGTACAACAACTAGATGAAAATGGCGATCGGGTACGGTACAAGCGATCATGACAGGAAGGAGAACTTTGAAGAGCATGAGAGGAGAGAGGAGGAGAGAGCAGAGCTTTAGCAGCAGTTAGAGGACAGGGATGGGATGGGAGGATGTTGGAGAGCAGTGTGAGGGTGAGGGCGAGGGAGTGGTGTGAAGGAATCCCTAGTTGTTGTTTGTTGGCTGATTTCTGTCTCTTCCTCAGATTTGTGACATCCTCTACCTCTGAGTCGAAGGAATACCGAATGATATGAGGGAAGACCATGGTGTCTTTAGAGAGGATAGATTGAAAGCTGTCAAGTCATGACCGGAGCACGGCCGTGCCAGAAGGTTTGGAAGGTCCAGGGAGTGACGTTGTTCTGCCTGTTCCTGTTCCTGTTCCTGTGCTGTGATGGTCTGCTTGTTGAGCGGATGCGTGGAGGGTTGGCAAGAGTAGCTGGTTCCAAGGCTCCGAAGCCGACAGCAGAAGCACGCAGGGTGTTGAGAGGCAGGACGGAGATCGTCGTCACGAAGCGCAAGCAGGGGATGAAGAGAGGAAGGGTCAAGAGCAAACCGACGCAGAGTTCGATCCTCCTTGACATGAACTCCTCGGCAAGCGACGAGATGGACTTGTCAGCCGCCGCCATGCCGAGCTTGAACGTCGCCTCCGACAGTTTGTGGTCCAACGGCAGGGAAGATGGTGCCGCCCACGAGGACGCTGAAGCTCTGCTGGACGAGTTCGATCACATGCAGGCAGCCATGCTCAACGAGTCAGTGAAGCGCCGCGTGGCGGCAAAGAGCAGCCGACCGGCTCGGCCTTCCGGCTCCCCACTGCGCGAGGCTCGTGCGCAAAGCAGGCGATCACCGCAGAAGAGGAACGCGCCGACGAGGAGCAAGCTGTCAGCGGCAGAGGCTCAAGTGAAACACTAGCGAACGATTGTCTCCTCCCTCCTGTCTGATCTCTGCTTGCCAGGTGCTGGATCAGATCTGCGGCAACAACTCGGGGTGACTGCACCTCGACATGCGCGAGCCGGTTAACGTTGTGACAGTCTGGTCGAGACCAACTCAACTCTCTTCTTCGGGCTTGCGCTGACGCTTCACCGCAAGTTCAACGATCATCTCAGGTATGTCCACTGCGAATCAGTGCAGAGGTATCGAGTCTGTTCATCACAAGTGAGGATCTTTGGTGGGGTCAACAGGGCAGAGCGCTTCTATATCAAGTCCATCTCCTTGAATCAGAGCGATCCTACCGTCTTCTACTGGTGATCGCGTTTCTCCCTCCTCTCCGACTTTCTTCTCGTCTCCTCCGCCCCCCTGCTCCCCTCTCGCTCCCCTCTCGCTTCCCTCCGTCCCATCTCCCTCCATTCCTCCTTCCTGGCTCTCACCTCCCTTGGTGGCTCTTCCCTCGCTCTTCCCTCTCATGCTCTCTCCCTCCTCCTCGTCTCCTCCCTTCCTAGTTGCTCTCGTCTTCTCTTCTGCTCACCGTGACCGCCAGGTGGTCCAAGTGCCTTCTCGAGCAGTACGAGAGCAGCGCCAACGCCACCAAGTTGTCTCTAGCGATGCATGCGGTCAAGAGGTCTGTCAAGCATACAGGCGTAGCCAAGTGTTTGACTCATGATCCTCCTCTTGCTCCTCCTCTGCCTCCTCCTCCTCTTGCTCCCCTTTGTCCGCCTGTGCCTCTTCCTGCTCCTCCCCCCTCCCTCCCTCCCTCTTCCTCAGGGGCCTCGAGAAGTTTCCCAGCCACGTGGACCTGCTGGTTCTCCTGGCAGAGATGCACATCCGACACTTCCAAGGGAAGAGGCCTGGGACCGGGGCAGAGCCATGGGAGGATGCGGTGCTGCGGTGACGATGCGAGCTGCTGCTGCTGTGTCTGGCAAGTGACCTGGTGGTGGCAGGAGCGTTCTGGAGATGAGTCCCTACCACCCTCATGCTCGTGCTGCGTGGATTGAGTTCCGCTCTCAAGGTCCCTCGTCCTCGTCCTTGTCCTTGTCCTCGTCCTTGTCCTTGTCCTTGTCCTTGTCCTTGTCCTTGTCCTTGTCCTCGTCCTCCATCCCCTCTACCATCTCGTCCTTGTCCTCGTCCTGCTGTGATGGAAGTCTGAAAGTTGTCCGCAGCTTTTGACAAGTTGGTGCGACACCGCGCGGGCTGAAGTTCGTCCTGCAGCCCGTTCTACCTCTCATGTCTCTTGACGAGCATGAATGTAAGTGATGTAATACTCTTATGAACAAGTTGTAATCGAGTCAGAATTCCTTAATCAACCATAAAAATCTTGAAAATGTTGTTATAATGAATCATACCCTTGAAGTGCTGAAAATGGAAAAGAACGCCTCAGTGGAGAAGGCCGCATGGCAGCAAAACTCTCTTGTCCGGGACGGTGACCTTGGCAGACGTGGAAAAATCTTGTCGTGTGAATGACTACAGGGACGGACTAGAAGCTACCAAAGAGAACTCGGTCCACTTGGCCGTAGCGCTTGCTACCGAGGAGTTTGTTCTGACAAGACTGGTAAGAGGCAGCAGCGAGGATGGAGGTGTGTTGTAGTCTCACAGCAGCCTTACCATAGAGGAGATGGACTTGGTCAGAGTCTTCTTTGCTGACTGAAGATCCTTCATGGCCTCCCTCCTCTCCTCCCTCCTCTCCTCCCCTCGGGACTCTGACCGATCGCGCCAGGCCTGGTCGTCCCTCCTCCCCCTCCCCCTCCCCCTCCTCCTCCTCCTGCTTCCTCCCGCTTCCTTCTTCGTCGACAACTCGTCTCTTGAAGATGACAGCGCATGGACGGCCCCGAGCAGCAAGGACGGAGAGTTTTGGCGCTGCTTGAAACCTTGTTTCGACTCCTCCACAACCCTACGAGCGGCTGCGTCTGCCATCTTGGAATCTTTAGCCCACAGCTGCTCCTTGGACAAGGGAGCTGACTGGCTGTGTCCGGGCATGTGGTGCTTGTAAGGTCTCTTCATGCCGCTGGAGAGGAAAGAAACAAGTTTGCGCTCGTCATTCTTGCTCAGCACAGGCTGCTGGTGTTGCTCACTGTGCAGGAACTGCTTGACGTCCACGTGAGCGGAGTGCTGGTACCTCCTCTTGCTCCTGCTACGATCTTTCTGCTGCTCCTCTATGGCCTGGTGGAGCAGTTTGGCGCTCTCCTTGGACTTGATGGAGACTCTTCCCACCGTCTTCCTCATGAGCGACTTGCGAAGTGCTTCCTCCTTCTTGTAGTCTCTTCCCTGACAGCCCGCACATCACCGCCGCTCTCCTCCACTTCCATGCACACACCTGATCCTTCAGCGCATCTCTGAACAGTCGAACATCGTCGTTCTGCCTTCCAAGTCACTGTTCTCCTCCTCCTCCTCCTCCTCCTCCTCCTTCAGTGCTCACCTCCCGATCCCCCCTGCTCTTCCTCTGTGTCACGCTGTTGACATCCTGCAAGTCTTTCCTCTGTCTGACGAGCTCGCGCTTCTCCGACCTGATCGCCTCTCTCAGCCTGCCATACCATGAGCACGGGGTTCCACCATCCCGTCAGCCTCTTTACAGTGAAGCGTCGTTCGCAAGCACAACCCCCGACTTGGCGGCTTCATGGCCCACGGGAGAAGAGGCAAGGAGGAGGAGGAGGAGGAGGAGGATGGGGAGGAGGAGGAGGAGGAGGGAGGGAGAGAGGGCGAGCAGAGTCGCTCCCAGAGGCCTCACACTGCATGCGCCCCCTCCCTTGACGTCACGCCATGCCATCCCAATGCGGGATGAAAGAAGGGTGGGGTTGTTTCATAAGGCTTTTTGGGGGTAGGGGTAGAGGTTGTCGGGGAAGTCGCTATGGGGGTGCCAGTTGTGGACATGGCGGGGGGGGAGGAGGAGGCGGCGCGACGGATGAGCGAAGCATGCAGGGAGTTCGGGTTCTTCTACCTGGTGGGCCATGGCGTCGAGGAGGAGCTGAGAGCGAAGCTGTACGAGGAGATGCGAAGGTTCTTCGCTCTCCCTGAGGGGACGAAGGAGAAGTACCACACAAGGACCAACAGCTACAACAGAGGTTGGACGCCAATGGAGGAGGAGACGCTGGACCCGTCGAAGCAGACGCGAGGAGACACCAAGGAAGGATACTACATTGGAAGAGAGATCCCCCTCGAGGGCCACCCCATGTCGGGGAAGCCGCTCCATGGCCCCAACGTGTGGCCGTCGGAGGAGGAGCTACCGGGATGGAAGGAGACTATGGAGAGATACTTTGAGAGCGTCTCCATGGTCGGGCACAGGCTGCTGCGCCTCCTCGCGCTCTCGTTGGCAAGCTTGAGACGCCCTCTCTTCCTCGGAGACTGACACGCTGCAGGGGCTGGCAGCTGACCACTTTGACGAGGACTTCAGTCAGCCAATGCTCTTTCTGCGGCTGCTCCACTACTCGGAGATCAAGTCGTCGGTGGATGAGGAGGGGAAGGGAGTCTACGCATGCGGCGAGCACACGGACTACGGGATGATCACCCTCCTCTCGACCGATGAGAACCCCGGACTGCAGATCAAGGTGTTCTTGTCCTCTACTCCGCTCTTGCTCTTGCTCTTGCTCTTGCTCTTGCTCTTGCTCTTGCTCTTGCTCGTCCTCGTCCTCGTCCTCGTCCTCGTCCTCGTTTCCCACTGTTGATCCTACTCGTACCTTATGCTTTACTCTTCCTATGCCTCCTCTAACGCCTTCGCAGCTGAAGGATGGGCAGTGGATTGACATTCCTCCTCGCAAGGTGACTGGAGAGAAGAAGGAGGAGAGGGAGGAACATCAGGAGGAGGAGAAAGAGAAGTAGTAGTAGTAGTAGTAGTAGTAGTAGTAGTAGTAGTCGGAGGAGGAGGAGTCGGAGTCGGAGTCGGAGTCGGAGGAGGAGGATGAGTAGGAGAAGGGGTAGGAGTAGGAGTAGGATGATGATGAGGAGGAGTTGTAGTAGTTTTGTAGTAGTAGTAGTAGGAGGAGGAGGAGGAGTCGGAGGAGTAGGGAGTAGGGAGGGGA